CGCCGGCAGGCCAAGCAGGCCCGGCCCCTGCCGAACCAAGTTGCCGGCGCAGCGAAGAGGATCTGGCTACTCGGTTTGGCGGAAGGGCGGGCCTGCTTGTTTTTCAAGATTTCCTAAGCTGTAACTTGTGAAAGTAGATTCCTTTGGACGAAAATTTCGTCCGTTTTGCTCTCTCACCGTTTGGGCGCTAGAGTGAGTTTCTCTAACAAAAGTGGCCCAAAAATAAATTTGTTAATTTGCGAAAATATTGGATGATCTCCGAAGAGGTAACTCGTGAAAGTAGAGTCCTCCTGACGAAAATTTCGTCCGTTTTGGGCTATCTATAACCGTTTATGCGCTAGAGGGTCTTTTAAGACGAAAATAAGCTAAAATTGCCACAGTGAACAATAAGATGTACAAAAAGGCCTAAAAACCGCAAAATAGAAAGGAAACTTTTCCCCACCCCCAGAAAATGTTTTCTAAGCAGAAGGGTGGGTTGTAGTCGCGGTGCTTTACCGTTACATCCCTTTCTCAAGTCTTTGGGGCAAACTCAAAGATGACGGGTTTAAGCGGGCCGAAGGCCCGCTGCATCATTCGATCATGTTCTTCAGCAAATCGCGTGACAGAAATGGTACCATCGCCGCCGCCAGGCCAAGCAGGCCCGGCCCCTGCCGAACGGAGTTGCCGGCGGAGCGAAGCGGAGCTGGCAACTTCGTTTGGCGGAAGGGCGGGTCGGCTTGTTACTTGCTTGATGCTTTCCTCGTCACTACTTTTACTGCTCTTACTAATGAACTCTTTTGACTTTGGTGTATCGTAGCATGCTCTCAATGGGTTTAGTAGGTCGTTTCTGCACTCGCACTTGTTGTCTTGGCTGAACTATGGCCCTTGGAGCTTCCATTACCTGTATCTTGATTCCCTTTTTGGCACTCATTATTTTCCTCTTGAGGTTTGGCACATCTAGTTTCGGCTTTTGTAGTGGCTGGACTTCTTTTGCTTGCTTGCTATCCTCTCTTTGCTTATGCTCCTGCATCTTCTTACTCACTCTGTTCACTATAGCTCTCAGCTCCTCCGGTGTCTTTGGTTGTGGTTTATCCTTTTTTGGATTTAGGGGGCACTACTTGCTCTACCACGGAAGGATGAGAAGGCAGTTGAGAAGAGAAAACCTGACTCTCTACGTGTGGTTAGTTTTACATTCACTATTTTATTCTTTCTGAGTCAGTTACAGTTTAACTGTCCCGCAACATTTCCTTTCTGTGCACCACTTTAATATTCATTCATTGCAATCATTGC